TTATAAAATTTTAAACTCCAAAAATAGTTAAAATCAAAGAAATCTATAAACATATGAAAATCTTAAAAATAGAAAATCTAGATAACGTGTTGTAAGATGCATTATTTTTAGGATTCAAAATCTCCTTCTTTTTTTCATATTCATACATTTTGATGTCGAGATGATCAATTAGAAGATTTTTCAACATTAAAACAGCCTTTTCTAATGGATTTTTGAAATGCATCTTTAATTCTACATTTTAAAGTTGCAACATTATATAAACTTTTACCTTAGATGTTAACTCATTAGGAAGTTTTTAAAGCAATTAGTGCAAAACTATACACAAGATTTCATAATAGGGCTAGATAAAATATGGCCGGATTTTGTTTTATCCTTAATTTACAACCATATATTTTTTTTTTAATAAAATTGAAAAAATACTACAGTAAATTAAGGATAAAAAAGATAAAGAAAATTGTTTCATGCGGGCTATATCGCTTGACTACATGTGTGGCCCAAAAAGTGTAAAGCATCCATCTTAAAAAGGGATGCAAGTTGGTGTTTCATCTAAAAACAATGGAAACTAATGGTCCAAATGTTTTCTTACTAGAATTCTTATCTATAGTTTTTAAAATTTACTTATTTTTTCATATCCACGATCTCCATGTTAGATATTACATATCTTTAAAAATTAAGTCCAAAAATCCATCTAAAAAATAGATTTATTAATAGGCCCACATTTCTAGGGCTTGGCAATAGAAGCCGGATCCTAAAAAAAAATTGGTATGGGAGGAGAAGTTTTAAACGGTAAAATTGGGATAAAATCAATTTTAGATGATATAATGCTGTAAATTGGGGTTTTAAAAATTAGGGTTAGAAAATTTTGCTAGAGGATGAAAGAGTTGAGATGAAATATAACAAAAAAAAAAAAGCCTATGTTAAGATGCATACAACTGAAAATTAGGACTTCAAAATTTCATATATTAGAGCCCTAAATTAAGGTTCATAGAGGAAGGATAAAAAAAAAATTTATAACCTCAAGACTACACTTTCTATGCTTACCCCAACCTAACTTTTTCTATCATTTTTTTCCCAAAATACATTTTCTATGTAAATACTCCCTAACAAAAAATAAAAAAAATGTTTAAACTACCCTCTCTTACTTTTACCTTACCCACACCTCTCTCTCCTCTATCCCACCAAAATAGGGGCTCCCAAGCAATAGAGCTCCGATACTGTGTAAAGTGCGGTCCAGCAGTAGGACTCCGGCACTGTGTAAAGTGCGGTTCGGCAATTGCAAATGACGGTCCGACAGTAAATGTTATGGGATTCCAAGAGTCCGGCATTGTATAAAGGACGATCATGCATTTGTGGGCGCCACCACTGTCACGTGCGCTCCAACAATGTACTATTGGGGTCCAAAAGTCAACGTTAAATCAGGCCAAAATGATTTTTGTGTACAAGAAGGGCATTTCCATCTAAAAATTGAAATTTTCCTTTGGTGGGTATTTGCATAGAAAGTTTATTTTAGGGAAAAAAGTGAGAAAAAATTAAATTGGGGGTAAGTTACATAAAAAATGTAATCTTAAGGTGTTTTTGTATTTTTCTCTAAAAAATACTCATAAAAAGATGATACATACAAGAGAGAGACGAATCCTTGGAGAGCCTTTGCAAATCAATTTATACTCAAGTGGAGCTCTCTTTGGTACTCGAGAACCGAGACCCATTATACCTCATTAACGCTACAAGGTTTGTCTTTGACTTTCCTAACGGTACCTAAAAAAGTTTTAAAATTAAGAGGCATTTTAGTAAAGAAAATTGTTTTATGCGTTGGATTGCATTTCTATAATATGCAGTTCAGATGTATAAAGCATCTATCTTAAAGATGGATGCAAATAAGTCGTCCATTTAAAAACAATTGTAACTAACGGTCTAAATGTTTTTTTAATATAATTATTATTTCTAGTTTTTAAAAAATTCATATTATCTTCATGTTAAAGATTATATATTCTGTAAAACTTAAGATCAAATTATATTTAAAATATATATATATATATTGTCAAGCCCACATTTCTACAATATACAGGCCGGCCGCATAGAAACCATGTCCTTTTAGTAATGGACACGGTTTCTAGGAATCCATGTAGAAATGAGTCCTTAAAAATCTATTTTTGAGATGGATTTTTAGACTTAATTTTTAAGGACATATAATCTCTAACGTGGAGATCATGAATATTAATAAATAAATAAATTTTGAAAATTACAATAACAATTATATGAAGAAAACATTTGGACCGTTAGTTTCAATTAATTTTAGATGGACCACCTATTTGCATCCATCTTGAAGATCGATGCTTTGTACCTCGACGACTCCAAATATAGAAATACAGTCACCGTCGTATGAAATAATTTTCCTTTAGTAATTGGAAAAAGTTTATATAAGGTTGCAACATTATGTTATTGAAGTAAGCTGCACCTAAAAATTCCTCCAAAAGACCGTTTTCTAAAATTGGAGAATCCTTCAATTTCTCATTTCCGCCTCAAGATTTGTGTATATGAAAAAAACAAAATTTCAAGCCCAAAAAATAGTACATCTTGTAACAAGTTATTTGGATTGTCCATATTAAAAAAACTTCAAATATTTATAAACCTAATCGATGTGTATCACTTTTGGAAAATTTAAATTTCCTAACTAGGGGTGAAAAAATATTTTTAAGCTATCATAAAGTTTCCCATACTTCAAATATTTCTCCAAACAAGTTTTAGAGGGTGCGCCTTACTTTTACACTATTAAAGACTCATATAAACCTCATCCAACCCATAGCAATTCAGCCCAAGTAAAGTTACTCCATGCTCATCTCGTCTAACTCTAGAATACAAAATTTTGTATTCCAATGGAGCAATTTAGGAATTCTGGGAAATTTTCTTCGGTACCCCATAGAAACGGAATTTAAAAAGTAACCCTTGCATTGATAAATTTTAACTAATATTTTTTGCCTAGGTAAATTTTTGAGTATGATTGGTTCACATGTAAATATTCCCCAATAAATATTTACGTATGTAAATTGTGTTTCATATGTTTGATTCGTTCAAATGCATATACAAATAAAATACTTTTTTACCATAAAATGGCCCAATACATGGTAAAATGAAACTACACGTATTAACATGGGGAAATAATTTATATAATTTTTATATAATCCGCTTAAATCCTATAGCCCTTGTGACCCTTCTCTCTCTCTCTCAGCCGCATCCCTCTCTGCAAGTAAAATTGTGGGGAGGCACCAACAACTCTCTCTCTTTTGCACATAGCTCTCTCATAACCATTGTTAGAAGAAAAACAGAGCCATCAAACTAGAGCCACTAAAACCAAAGACAAGCTCATAGGAACAAATTAACGAACACATGGACACATAATATATTGATAAACAAATCATTAATACCCGTAACTCGTAATACTGAAACCATACGAAAACTAGATAGATTTATATACAAATTACCCGTACCTAATTGTTGTATCATTACATTGATTCAATTAGTTTGTTAAAACATCGAATATGAATCCAAATACCAGCAATAAAGTGAAATATGAAAAAATAATGTAGTATCTTATAATTAACACACTCCACAAAAAAACCCTCTTCTACAAGTAATAAATTTAAAAATTACAAATTAAACAAAATAACAAACAAACACAAACAG